TGCGAATGGTGGATCTACGGGAACCAGGTCGAACAGAAATCGATACTGTGGTAACGGTAAGAAATGTACACGACTTAATGGACCGAAACATTTCTTAATTACTTTAATAATTCCTTTCATGTTTTCCATCGTTTTTTCTCACGATTCTCCTCTAACCTTAAATCAAGTCCAGCAACAACACGTACACTTTATTAGAAACAGACACGAAGACTCAAAATGCCCAAGCTTAGCTATGATGCAATCAGCGTTATCAAAAATGAATTATCAAAAACTACACTAAAAACACTGTAAAATTCAAAATTTAGAAAATTTATAAAATTTAGGATGCTTTTTCATTTCCAACAAAAATGAAACTAAATTTTTTTGACATAAAGGAGGTCCGAACTCTTCACCAACAACTCCCGATCCTTCGAATCGTGAAATTTTAAGCCCTCGTGGTTCAGGACATATTTTGCATGTACACTAACTTCGTATAAGTCTTTCTACGAATAAATTCTGCCAACAAACTATCTCGCATATCTCACTCCCAAATTATAACAACTTTTTGTGGTTGAACACGGCGGTAATGATGGAAAAAGCAAAATTTTGACATACACTTTTTGAATATTCTTATTTTTCTTGAAAAATTTCTGACAATATTTTAATTTTTCGATTTTTTTTAATTTCGATAATCAATTTTTTTTTTTTGAAAAAAAGAACATTTTGGCAAAAATATTCCTAAAAAAAATCATGTGTTATCGAAAGCTAGACTTACCGATATTTTTCTCCTCTTTTCGGCAGAAATAATCACAACTGGTGCATTGATAAAACGCGTGCATGTTGCCGACCACTGATCTGCTTGTTAAGTGATAAATTCGCACAGTTTCACCGTCAGGCTGAGCCACAATCAACGGGGCAGTACCGTCACCGGATAAAGCATCTCCAATAGCGCATGCACCAAAAATCCTCAAATTGATCATTTTACTAAGCTGTGTTGTGTCAAACACGAAAAGTGATAGATAAAATTTGTTCTCGAATATTTCATTTCATACTTTTGTGTGTGGATATAAAAAATCTGCGAAAGCGGATTATGTTGATCATTTGATTCACGCTTATGATCAAATTAACTGCGCTCCAAGCAAAGAGATAAACTTCTTATTTTAACATCAAATTCAAAAACACAACGTTCACGTAACTTAATAATACACGTATCGATTCCAAAGCACAACCACTCCAAAGAATATTGCCTTCGTTGGCTCCTTCTGACGATCGCCAGCAATCTTCTTATCCCCGCAAAATTCACTTTTTGACTTCGTAGTCTTCCAGTAGCCAGCACCCCTTCTTTTGGAATAACCACTTATCCCACCCCAGGCGTTCAAAATCCTTTTTCCTCCTTGTGATCCCCCTTTACATATTTTTTTATATAAACACAAAAGAACAAAATACAACATTCTAAAACAAATTTTATCTATCACTTCTCGTGTTTTGGCACGACAGATCACGAGAAGGGAAAAGGAGCAAGGACCTCTGAGGTAGGACAATCCTTTATTCCTAAAAAAAGGGCCCTAAGGTA